AAGCTGACTGATTAGCAACCCAGGACATGCCCTGGATGTTCCCACTCACCTCCTTGGTATTCTACCAAGACCTCAGTGGGGCCACTGTCACAGCAGGGAAGGACACACACTTACTAGAAAGGCCTAGAAGAGGGTGGGGGCAGACTTCACCCAGGTCTCAGCAAAGTTCTGAGTGTTCAACCCAGGGTGTTGGGGTCCCCCTGGGAACTGGGTCTCCAGAGGAAAAGCTGTGGGGGCACAGAGACCTCCTGGGTTTATAAAAATAGTGAGATCCATAAGTACCTCCCTTGGCAACTGATGTGCCAACCAAAGCAGGCCAATGCCCTTGGCAGCCACCCTCCTGGGCTATGCGGGTGAGGCAGCAATCAGATTCTTGGGGCCAGGATGGGTGATCTGGAGAGATACCTGGGGGGGGGGAGTCAGACTGGGACTGTTCATGACAGCAGGGGACAGACAGGGAGTCTGACCAGAATCAAGATTTCTGAACAATGTACTTCCTCTCTGGCCAAGCCAGGGCAGATCTGCTCCTGCTGACCCTGGAGCCCCAATAGCAGGTGGGGAAACTGAGTCCCAGAAGAGTACTTGCTAGGCGTATAATTCTGTACGTGTTCCTAAGAATAGGAATGTTGCCCCTACACACACACACACACACACACACACACACATGCAGGCATGCACATACGCACATATGTACACACACAAGCATATACTCACAAACACACACACCACGCTCACGTACTCATGCATACACACACACACACACACACACACACACACACACACACGCACACAAGCACACACACAAGCATACACACACACGCTCACGTACTCATGCATACACACACACACACACACACACACACACACACACTCAAGCACGCACCACATGCACGTTCTAGAGACATGGGCAAGCAAGTGGCTCATTCTGCAGATTTGACCTCCTTGGTCTACCCTGTGACCTCTATGGTTGGTCACTGCCTCCTAGAAATAGGTCAGCGAGCACCTCGGCGGCAGGCGCAGGGAACAATGGCCCTTTCTTCATTCCTCCTGGAGGCAAGTAAGCCTCATCAGGCCAAACATCTTAATATGATAAAAACTGCCCAGAGAAAGCACGAGGGAGGGGGCTGGGAGACTTGAGAGGTCCTCCCTCCTGCCTGCCTGGGAGGACCAACAAGGACCAGAGAACAGTTGTCCCATTGAATGGATAGGAATATAGAGGCCTCAGGACCCACAAATCTCTGGCTGTCAGTCAGATGCCCACCCAGTCTTCAGCCCATATCTTCACACCTTGGTCCTGTTGGGTCCTGAGCCCCACCCTCTCCTCTCCCTCCTCCTCTCCCTCCTCCTCTTCCTTTCCCTCCTCCTCTCCCTCCTCCTCTTCCTTTCCCTCCTCCTCTCCCTCCTCCTCTTCCTTTCCCTCCTCCTCTCCCTCCTCCTCTTCCTTTCCCTCCTCCTCTCCCTCCTCCTCTTCCTTTCCCTCCTCCTCTCCCTCCTCCTCTTCCTTTCCCTCCTCCTCTCCCTCCTCCTCTTCCTCTCCCTCCTCCTCTCCCTCCTCCTCTTTCTCCAGTGCAGAAATCCCCAAAGGCTGCTTTCTTCATTGCAGTTGTTCTTTCCATAGACAGATCTACTGGGCTTGAATGCAGGAGAACAGAGTTCTCAGCCTGCCACTGGTAGAAAGAGCTAAAACAGCGGTGCTCAACCTGCGGGTCATGACCCCTTTGGCAAACCTCTATCTCCAAAAATAGTTACATTACAATTCGTAACAGTAGCAAAATGACAGTTATGAAATAGCAACAAAAATAATCTTACGGTTGGGGGGGTCACCGTGACTGGAGGAACCGTATTAAAGGGTGACAGAGTTAGGAAGGCTGAGAACCAGTGGTCTAAAACATCAGCTCCAGGGACCCTCTCCACATCCATAATCACTCGGGCACTTAGAAGCACCCTCCTCAGCCCTGCCCTCAGCATCCTTCTGCCCACTCCTTGTCAGCCTCTGCTGCTTACCCAAGCCCATCACTCTTGTGGCTGCCTGCATCCACCCACCCACTGGTGACCAGAGCATCCAGCAGAGTGTCATGGTTTCTCAGCCTGCATCCATCCACCCACTGGTGACCAGAGCATCCAGCAGAGTGCCATGGTTTCTCAGCCTGCATCCATCCACCCACTGGTGACCAGAGCATCCAGCAGAGTGTCATGGTTTCTCAGCCTGCAGCCATCCACCCACTGGTGACCAGAACAACAGCCTGTCATGGTTTCTCAGCCTGTATCCACCCACCCACTGGTGACCAGAGCATCCAGCAGAGTGTCATGGTTTCTCAGCCTGCAGCCATCCACCCACTGGTGACCAGAACAACAGCCTGTCATGGTTTCTCAGCCTGTATCCACCCACCCACTGGTGACCAGAGCATCCAGCAAACTGTCATGGTTTCTCAGCCTGTATCCATCCCACCCACTGGTGACCAGAGCATCCATCAGAGTGTCATGATTTCTTAGCCTGCATCCACCCACCCACTGGTGACCAGAGCATCCATCAGAGTGCCATGGTTTCTCAGCCTGCATTCACCCACCCACTGGTGACCAGAGCATCCAACAGAGTGTCATGGTTTCTTAGCCTGCATCCATCCACCCACTGGTGACCAGAACATCCAGCAGAGTGCCATGATTTCTCAGCCTGCATCCACCCACCCACTGGTGACCAGAGCATCCAGCAGAGTGCCATGGTTTCTTTGCATGGTTTCAAACATGAACCTGGAGCAGGTGCTCCAGGTTGTCCTGACCAGCAGAACTCTCCAATTCCCCACAGGACCTCAGAGAAGTTCTGGGTGGTAGCCTGAAGCCACGTGTCTAAACAATCGTGCACCTCCACACACTCCCAGGCCAGCACTGGGGTCACAGCCACTTGGCTCAGGGCTAGTGATATGTCTCTGACCCTGAAAACCCTGTGTGAGCTGGAGCTTCCCCAAGGGCTGGCTGCCCACGTGAGGCTTCACCAGACTGAGTTGTGTAGAGCAATGGGGTCTCCAAAGGAGGGGGGGGTGCCTCAGAGCCTTGGAAGCTCCGGCTCCAACATACCCAGTGCCTTCCAAGGCCACCCAGCCCCCGCTGGCTTCAAACTTCACTGGCTTTTGGCAAATCTTGTTCTGCCAGGTCCTGAGAACTACTGCCGGATGGAGCAAACCCAAAGGCTCTTTACAAACCCAACAGCCCACCCAGGCCTCAGGCCCCTTGTCTGAGATATGGCAGACAACTCCTCCCCAACTTCCTCAAGCCCAGCCCCATTCCCACAAAGCAGACCAGGGCTGCTTACCTCTGGGGGTCTGGACACGGGAATCATCCTGTCCTTATCTGGATGTATTTAGGGCTCCCGGGATGTGAC